AAAAAAAAAAAAAAAGGTTTATCCATCCCAGTAAATACTGGGAACAAACTTGCTTACAAAATTAGGAGAATAAAAAGAAGGCAGGGATTCAGATACAAGGAAGAAGGGCTAAACAAACAGAAGTTTGCAATGGGATCCTGTTTAATTCTTGTGCCCTGCAGAAATATTTTTGGACCAAGGACTCCAAGAGCTTCTGATGATTATTCTTGTTTAGGGGCTTTGTTATGCACTATCTCCTCACATTCTGTGGCACTTCTACAGATCCTTCAAACCAGCAGAGACAGACACAGCAGGCAACATTTCCTCAGTTTTACATTTGGGAAAATGAGGCTCAAGGATGTTAAATGACAAAGGACATTCACCACATACTCAGGTGAAGGACACTTCACCAGATGCAAGAAGACTGAGCCAGTATTTCTGCCCATAATAAATCATCCCTTCGTTTAAAAATTATTTTAAGTATTAAAAAGAGTTTAAAGGCTAAGGAGGCTAGGCATGGTGGCTCATGCCTGTAATCCTACCTCAGGGAAGCCAAGGCTGGTAGACTGCTTGAGGTCAGGAGTTCGAGACCAGCCTGAGAAAGAGCAAGACCTCCTCTCTACTAAAAATAGAAAAATCAGCTAGGTAGTCCCAGCTACTCGGAGGCTGAGGCAAGAGGATGGCTTGAGCTCAGGAGTTTGAGGTTGCTGTGAGCTATGACACCATGGCACTCTAGCCTGGGCTACATAGCCTCAAAAATAGAAAAATAAATAAATAAATAAAGGCTAAGGAGAAGACAATGCCCATGATCTCGAGCAGAGTTTCTCAACCTGGGCATTTTAGGCTGGGTAATTCTTTGTTTGGGGACTGCTCTTGTACATTGGAGGATATTGGTAGCATCCCTGACCTCTACTCACCACATGCCCAAAGAGACAATCAGGAACATCTACAGACATTGCCAAATGCTCCTTGGGGGGCAAAATCATCCTTGTTTGGGAACCATTGCTCTGGATAAAGCCTTCCTGGGAGAAAGGTGGGAGAAAGCACTGGTGAAGAAAAAAAAATATGGATTCAAATTCTATCCAACATTCAGTATGACCAGAAGCAAATCACTTACTCTGTGTTCATTTTCCCCAAGTGCAATATGGCATCACAATAGGACCAACCTCTGACAGGCTGGTAGACATGAATGAGAATGAGGTGACATACACAACCCTCTTCACGCCATGTCTGGCACACATGGCAGATACATGTTGGCAGCATGTAGAAGCTAAAAGACCAGGCTGAGAGATAAGAGCAGAGGGCGCCCACAATGTGCTCTCCACTCTCTGGTTCTTTGAGCACATCTCTACCAAGATGCGGAGCCCACTGTATTATGACTGGCTGTTTTGTGCCGTCTTCTCTATTAGACTGTGAGTTCCTCCAGGCTAATATCATGTTTTATTGATCTCTATATTTCTAGAACCTGATGACTCTTGGTTTATACAGACACAATAAATCCTTTTTGAATAGACACTTCAAATGCCCACGTATATATTATTTCTCTTAAGACGAATCGAAATTATCAGTATTAGCAAATCAATTGGTTTTCTCAAAGAATATTGAATTCTTAAGAATCCCAGGAAGATGTTAAATTCTAAAGACTTTCTCTCACCGACTTGTTTTTATCTACCTCTTATATCTATGGAACAGACTAGTGCTAACATTCTTTAGGTATTAACATGGCTATAAGAAATGCCACAACCCAACTAAAAGAAAACTCTTTCAGTCCTACCTCGCCTCCTCAAAGCTAAGCCCAGTAAGTAGCTTTTTGTGCTCTCTCTCAGGTGTCCAGAAGAGAGATAAGTATGTATTCCAGGCTGCCCAGAGAAGGGTCATCAAGATGGCGAGAGGAGACTTGAAACTTTGCTATATGGATCATAGTTTGAAGGAACTATGTGTGGAAAGTGGAGAAGAGAAGAGAAAATTTAGGGAGTAAGCAACAGCTTCCCTTGAATACAGAAAGAACTACGTGGAAGAGGGTTTGTATCCAAAGATGAAAAAGGCTGAGAAAGTGGACTTCCTTCAGGGGTTTTCTGGGCAGAAACTGGTTGAAGGGGATACAGTGAGCAGCATTCAAGCTCTGGAAGATTTTAAGACCTGATGACATCTGTACCTCCCAACTCTTTATCCTCTACGGCCCTACTAAAAAAAGCCATCATCTATGAAGATGATAGCAACTAAAATAAAGAAAGAAAGAAAGAAATCTTCTCTTGATTGAATGGTGGATTTCCTGGTCTGTGGGCATCAGATGTCACCTGCTCTGCATTTTGAGAAATCTATTACACAAATTCTCAAAGAATGGGTAAAGACATGAGCATTTTAAACTACATGTGCTTTAATATGGTTTGGGGATTTAAAAGGCTTGGGAGGATTTGGGTTGTATCCAAACTGAAAAAATTAAGGAACCAGAAATGAATCACAAGGAACCAGAAATGAATTAGTTAATATAGCGAAAGTAGCTGATCTGTTCCCACACTCATTTAAGATAAGGGTGGGTGTGACGCTGAACTGTGACTTGTCTTCTAACCTGTTTGACTTGATTTGGGAACCTATGATTCAGAAGGCAAAGCAGTCAGTAAACACAGAATTAAAATTGTCAGAACTACTGACATTTTCCAACAGACAAAATAATTATATGGACAGAAACGATAGTTTAGCTGCAATTGCAGTAAAACTCTTGACTGTGGAACTAAGAGGGAATTAAGATTATTGAAAATTCTCAAGACTATAGCTGGTCTAGGCCAACATATTGATATTCAGCAAGATTTTCTACTTACTGCCTAACAACTAAACCTACACAAAGACAAACTTTGTGATGCAGAATCTCCATTCAATTAATCAGGATCTTAACAACCATACTTTAATAAACTAAGTGAAAACGTATAATACGCTTGTCATCTTACTGAAATACACGTACTAGCTTAGGAACAAACAAATACTTAAAAAATGGCCAGACCTGTCTCTATTCATTCCCCTCCTGCATACAAAAAATTCTGGGTCCTTTTTACTGATTTGATTTCTATTTCCCACCCATTGCCCCACGTCCTTTATGAAGGGTTTTTGTCCACTCCACACAGAACAATATTAAAAGATGATACCCTTGAAACTTTGTCTTAAACTTAGATGCCATGGGAAGACTGAGTTTTCCAGTGTGGATGTGAGATCTGGGAAGCTGTCAGTTGCCTGTCCACAATAATGTGACTATGAGGTGTCCCTAAGGAGAGTGGAGTTGATATTGAGATTTCACAAGTATTTCACCAGATCCTGGCCTAGTTTAGGGATTTTGCTATAAACTTTGACCTCTTCCTATCCTCATTTTCAAAGCACCTAGAAACGATGACTTCTCCAAGGCTATCTATACTTTGTGCACTTTGGTCACCTTTTAGGGGTGTTTGACCTTTTTTCTTCTCTGCTGCACACCGTAGGAGTAGGCATTGCCTTGGGGTACACATTTTAAGTACATAAACACTAAAGAAAGCTGATGAGCAAAAGAAAAGGTCTTGGCACACTTTCCCCAATATCTGATACTGCAAATAAGCAAAACAGTCCTTCAATAATCAGCATGTGGCCCACAAGCTGCAGGCTGGACACCCCTGTATGCTGTCTCGAGGGTATGAGGCTAAGATTGTGAATA